TAAATCTTGAGGGAGATAATGGCCCCCTGCCGTGAAGTAAACCGACACCCATCCGTTTTGAGGAGAGACGGATTCAGGGTCTTTTCGGTCTAAAAACGACTCTTTTATTAGTCCTAAAACAGAGTCGGGCTGGCGCCCGTTTTTGGGGTCGTGCGGGTCGTTTTCAGACTCTAAAACAGGGTCGTTTGTTCTATGCGGGAATGATTATGCTCCAATCCTCATACAGTAAAAAGATAGGCGTTGTTCCACATTTTTAAAAAATATATTTTAGTCATGGTGGTCTTTTTAACGTTCTTAGCTAAGGTTAACTAATGGTTTGAAGACTGTCTGAGCTGTAGGTCTTCCTTTTTACAGGCTGTGTGAGCACTATGTTGAATTTCTCCCAGAGAGTACTTCAAACAATTTCTGTCACTTCAGATAGGGGTTCCTACATATACTGTGTTTTCATTGCAATAGGCTAGATAATACATCTAATCCAGGAGACTTCCTGATGCATCAGTGCTACAGTTTAGTCAAAGTTAAAATCTGATTTTCTGGTTTTAGTTAACAGTGTAAAGCCTAAGATAAGAGTATAAAAATGCATTGCATTTGGGGGTCTTGCAACTCCGTCTTTCACCAAAAAAAATTTAAAAGTAAATCCAGGGCCCAATGAGGAACCTGAATTTTACCAAGAAATTATAAAAAGTAGTTTCAGGGCCACTCTGCTCCAATCTTTACTGAGGAAGAACTTACTACAGCATTTAGAGAGAAGTTAGAATGTCTAGGTAAATTGATTAAAGAAAAAGAAAAGCATTTAATCTTTTCATATTATAGAAAAAGAAAAGCATATAATCTTTTCAAATTATAGAAAAAGAAAAGCATATAATCTTTTCAAATTATAGAAAAAGAAAAGCATATAATCTTTTCAATTTTTTTTCAATGTTTCTGTAATGTTGTAAAGTAGTAACAGCTTAAAAGAGATTTAAGATACGGATTCTTTTAAATTACAAAATAAACAAGATAATAACGTTTCATTTTAAATTCTGTATACTTTCTTTTAAGAACAGCACCCAATCCCTTTGAAGATATAGGATGTCCAATTTTTTTTAGGTACTATAGAGCTTTCGTAATAGATTAATTTTCACAGTTTTTGGACATTTTCAAAATCTATGAAATATTTTCGTTCGATGTACACCATTCCAGGTTTGTAGCTAAAATTAAGTTTTCGTAATCTTTGGTTTTTGAACATGTTCTGTGACTTCATTAGGGTGAAAAAAATTATTTCAAAAATGTTAAATCTCATAAGTACTATACACCAAAACCTAGGGATTAAAATTGATGGAAAATTGTCATAGAAAGGAAAATTGCTACAGTTGATGTGGACAAACATCGCAAAAGAACGATACTGAAGCTAAAGAGCTCTGAAACAATAAAGGATATTTTTAATATTAATATGTTGAAATATATATTTGGTATCTCTTATTTGAACATTTCAAACAGCTTTGAAATCAAAGATAAATTTTATTTTACTTTAATTGAAATCCAATTTTCAACTGATAAACTTCCTAACTGGAATAACTTCTTCAATTGTATTGCTGCATGCAAGCACAAATGTGAAAATCAAACTATCCTGCGATCTCTAGTACCTAAAAAATCATTTTTTGAGACACCCTGTATGTTTAGGCACAGCAGAGGATAGACAAGTGTTGCTTGAATGCTATCAGGTAAAGATGTATACAGATTCTTTGTTGGTTGCCCCGTTTTAGAACCAGTTATCTCAAACTTTTGTCGACAGAAGGAGTTGATTAATTCTTCTTGGATATTTGATATCTTGTACACTGTATTTCTACGAGCTAAGCACAGACATTCTGATAAATATATCAGGTCCAAAAGGCAGTTAAACTTCCCTATGGGATGATTTCTCTTTAGAAGTAAACTTAGAGAAAGGAAACGAAGAGGTAAAGCTTATCTCAGATGTAACACAACCGACCTCCCATCTTCTCGTGCAATGTTTGCCTGGAATTTGCACATTTAAAAAAAACAATTTTTGCGCGGAATTTGCGTCCAACTCATTTTTCAGAATCTTGATCTTTATAAGAAATCCTTAAAAAACGAAATTTTACTCTATTAAACATTTTAAAATGTCATTTAAGTTTTTCTTTCTATCTACTAAATGCACTGTAAGAATTGCAAGACTTTATTACTCATGCATTCTATCTTGCAAACTATAGAAGGCGAAGGTCAAATTTATTAAACATTACTGGTACGATCTTGTAGCTTTTCTAGTCTCAATTTTATGCAAAAGCATGAAAAAATCAATTTATAGAATTTCAAAACATTTAAATTCTTCACATTAGCTCATGAAAAAAGTAGAATTATGATTGGTTGAAATATTTAAGATTTCAAGCTCATGTGATATTCACTTTAGTTTTGACATGTGGTACCAGACAAAGAATTACAGTGTACCGGTGTTAATCGGATATGCCCAAGGAGTATGGAATAAAAAGAATCGACCCGGCCCGCCACCATATGACGGATGCCAAAAAATTGGCAATACAAACGTATTTCTCTAAAATATAAAAAGCCGGTTTTATTTAATTAGGTAAAGTAAAAAACCACATTCAAAACATGCTGGATTTTCGAGCATTCCTGGAAATATGAAAATGTCGTCTTCATTATCAAAAATCCTCGAAACAGGAATAAATGTTTTCCAAATTAACTATCAGATCATAAAATATAAAAAAATATTATGAAATATCAACTATATACGAATGCACCGAAAATTTTTGATGATTAAAGATTGTAATATCTGAATGATTTATTTGGAATTAAATTGATTTTTTTACGATCCGAGTTGAATGTTGCAACTTTCTGAATTTGTATGGATGCTACGTTCTTCGGTATGAGTCGTTTTTAACAATTTTCTCCTTATAGACGCAACAGATAGAAGTAAGATTAGTTGCTATCAAAAGCGCTTATTTTTCGCCGTAAGCCTATACTCCCTTTCATTTTTCGCGAACACTCCCTTTAAATAATAGAAGAAGAAAAAGTTTAAATGGTCAAATTGTTAAAATGAAAAACTAGAATTAAACTTAAATTCTATGAGATGAAAAAAGGTCCAGAAAATAATTATGACTTGTAAAAGTTTCTGTTTTGAAAAAAAAAGTAGGAGTAATATTGTAATCTATATAATAAAGCTCTTGTTTCATTTATATATTTACTATCGCTGGCCAAACGGCTAAATCAAATAGGTTGAATTTTTGTGAGGAAACTCATGGATACCCTTGGCGATGACATAAGCTAAAAAGTGTGTTGCTTTAATTCGATTTTTTTTTTAATTCCACGGGCAACGACTGGCACTTTAGCTAGTTTGTAATAAAAAGAAAGATTACAAAACGGCAGTGCAATGAATAAAGTAAATTAAATCCAAATTAAAAAACAAAAAATGGTTTTGTACTACCTCTAAGCTCAAGCCTTCGTGGGTTGGCGTTTAAAAATAATTGTTTTACTTCGCTATCCCTGATAGCGCATATCCGATTAGGATGAATGTGCATTCTAGATAGATTTTTCATTCGGACTTTTATGTTCTTCATTCATGAGTTTAAGATTTGAAAAGTGTGAAAGCGCTGAGTTCAAGGGGGGGCTACGCCCCCCTTACAGGTCTGGGTGGCTGCCTCCCCATGTATACGCCCGTGCGTGTGTTCTAAAATTTCATTACACATTGAAACGAACCAGAAAACACAAGATATATTTTCTCTTTTGAAAACTCAATTTGAAGTAAACATTCTTTCTAGATTAAAGTTGACACTTAATTGTGTATATTGAAGAAGCTAAAATACCTTTCTTGATTACATTTAGAAACTGGGTATAAAGTGTCCCAAAAAACAAGGGAATAATAAGACGACCTTAATTTCGCCTTTTATATGACGCGCTATTGTATATGAGTATTCCATTCACTATTCTCTTACATAATTCAGATATTTTTCGATAGAAGAAGTTAAACATTATAGAAACCCAACGTATAGAAACCGCTAGGTATAGCAACAAGGCGTATTGTGCGGGGGAATATTTTTTATATTGAAAAAAAAAATAAAGGTGCAGAAATTGTGCAACTATCCCTTTAAAGGAAGTAATCGGCAAAGAGGGTTCATTAAATAAAACACAGGGTTCATTATAATACAATGATTGCCGTAAAGATTTATAACGGGTCAGCTGGAGTGCCCAGCGTTGCCCTTGAAATAAAAAAATAAAATTTTTTGAAAAAACTCAAAAGCATACCCACAGGGTACCCATGGGTTTCCTAAAAACAATACAGCCAATTCAGACCAGCCGTTTGACCAGCTATATTCCCTTAGAAAGATAACAAGAAAAATTGTGATTTGAAATGCTTCATGGTTATTCTGAGGATCATTCAGAATAATCTTTTTTCCAAACTAAAAAAGTGTTTTCACTTTATAATTATATCAACTCCTTTCATTATTCTAATTATTATCAACTCCTTTTATTATTCTAATTACTATTAACTCCTTTTATAATTCTAATTATTATCAACTCCTTTTATAATTCTAATAATTAACAACTAAACATTAATCTAAAATTCTTGTATACTGTTCATTGAGACATATGATAATTTAAACGTTAAACTTTTTAACTTTTATAATTTCAACAGTCTACAAAAATCAACTAGCAATAACAATAGATATATGGCAAAAAATGAAAATTATTAATAATTGTAAATTTACTTTTAAAAGATTTAAATTTTTATCCAAAATTGTAATGTTTTCTTCATTAAAACTAAGATTTATATGTATTTTTATCAAATCTTAAAAAGATTAATATAATTTTATAATATTATATTATGCAATGTTATGTTCTATGAAAAAAATGAGAAAATGTGATGAAGACTGCATAAAGTGATTTTGATAAATTTGAAAATTGTCAAGCTGTTGTTAAATGTGTTTCTCTGGTTATGATCGGACATACAAATAGTTATGAAAACAGAGATACTCTACGTATGTATAAGCACCAAATCAATGTTTTGATAAGTTATTCAAAGAAAAAGATATAAAATTATTATATATTCTAGATACTGAAGAAGACAATAAAGCAGAAAAAAGGATTTAAATCAAGAATGACGTCGGCTAAAAACACGCTAGTGTTTACTAGTTTCCTGAAGGTATATGTCACTCTAAACACGCTAGTGTTTACTAGTTTCCTGAAGGTATATGTCACTTTATACACGCTAGTGTTTACTAGTTTCCAGAAGGTATATGTCACTCTATACACGCTAGTGTTTACTAGTTTCCTGAAGGTTTGTGTCACTCTAAACACGCTATAGTGTTTACTAGTTTCCTAAAGGTATGTGTCACTCTATACACGCTAGTGTTTACTAGTTTCCTGAAGGTATGTGAATGTGTCACTCTATACACGCTAGTGTTTACTAGTTTCCGGAAGGTATGTGTCACTCTAAAATCATAGATGAGAGACGACTTACAAAATACTTTAGATCGTTTTTAAACAAATCCCAACCCTACTCTCTAGCACTAGAATTATATCATTTTCTTCTCAATATATTTCGCCAAAAACTTTGGCATCATCAGGAGTTTGTCCTTACTCTTTTGAAGAGTATTGAATGACATTACAAAATGAATTACAAAATATGTTAACAAATTATAGCCAAATTCAAATCAGATTAAAAACGACCTTTATGAACTGTCATATGTCTCGTGGGGGGGGGGGGGTGGATTTAATGGGGGGTTTTTAGGGGTCGGAAGGACGGACTCTATTGAAACACGAATACCTGTTCTAAAAAGTACCATGCCGCGAAGGCTGGTTCGAGATCATTCTAGAAAGTACCATGCCGCGAAGCTAATCCTCTCTTGTTGTGGAGATCGGCTAGGGAGGCCGATAGTCGTCTTCCACAGGTTTTTTAATGCGAGCAAGCTCTCGTTAATCCCACGGTCTCATGGATATGACTGATAAAGGAAATTGGATTTTGAAGCATTTGGTAAAAGTCGCCTTTCTTATTAAAATTCTCGACGACAGAAATAAAATAAATTTTACTTTACCATTTGCTCACAGTGCCCCAAATTTCCACTTATTCCCATTTCTTCCAATGATCCCATTACATTCTGTTTCATAAAATCCCTCTACATTAAATCTTTTCTTTTAGGAGGAGTCTGAGAAAAAAAGCCCTAAAGAAAACAATGACCTGGAGGACCATTGGAAGCTGAGAGAAAAGTCCGTAAAAAGTCCAGATGATGAAGTTGAAGCAAAATCATGATTTTTATAGTTTTTCGAACAATATTATTATAATCAAAGATAGGATGTAACAAATTAAATAAATATATTTCAGTTATTTTCTTAAAACCTTTTACAAAGGAGTTGAGTCTTTGCCACAATCCCAATTTTTCTAATCCCTATATCTTTGCAACCTGATGGTGTAAATCTTTGATATTTTAATCTTGGATTATTTTATTTCACTATGATTTATGATTTAAATATTCAATGTATACGCCATTGGGTTGCAAAGATATAGGGACTTAAAAAGCGGAGTTTGTGGCATTGTTCATATTTTCGATCAATATGTTCTTAATTTAGAATTGCTTTGGGTTGTTCTAACAACATGTTAGAATTTTTAACATTGCATATCTGCGATATGTGGAATATTATTTTATGAAAAAAACTGAGTTTTCTCCACTAACTAATCCCTATATCTTTGAAACCTGATAGTGTAAAACTGTTACATTTCAAACTTTTTGTATTTGAACTTGCCTGTTTTATGTAATTTTTTGCACAACACGTTTTCCTAGTATAATCAAACCTTAAAATTTAGAAATGTAACAATTTCATGGTAATGAATGCTAGACAAATTTAACAATAATATATATATATATAAATATATATATATTTCTCCCAAATTTGAAAAGAATTGATAGTGTTAAACATATAGCTATAGCATATTTCATGTATATATATTTTAGAATTAAACAGATTTTTTGTACGCATAGTAAATTGCTATAGATGTTTCTTGCCCCAAAATAAAAAAATGGGGTCATCGAGTTGAGGTGTGTGCGTTGCTACTAAGTAGAAGTGAAATATTTTGAGATTGAATCATACATTAGTAATAAAGTTGGCTACTAAGTAGATGTGAAATATTTTAAGCGTTGCAGGAGGGTACATTCCTACCGTTTACCCGTGCTTGGTCGTAAATTACGATTTTAGCTTTTATTTCCAATAAAATTTGACCTAACTTAGAATCTTTTAACCAAGCTCAGAGCATTCCCACGGTTCTCCCGAATTCACACAATCAAAATTTAAATATAAGAAATCAGAGACGATTTTAATTCCGTCTCACGTTTTATGGGAAACACCTTATATGGTACGAAATTCGATATTCAATCTATTCTCTTGGTGTTTGATCTAACGTTGAAAATTATTTTGAGTAAACATTGAAGAAGCAATTTTTTAAAATTCAAAATGAAAGTTGGATAAATTTCTTAAAATCTCAGATGACAGAAACCGGAAGTCAAAATCTTAAACCGGAAGTAAAACAGGAAGTAATGATTTCTCTCTATCAACATTTGTTCATCATGTTTTTTTTTACTAATAGAGCATACGAACATTTTTATAAGAAATTTTAGTATAATATTTCTGTAAACTGATAACAAAAAAGTTTACAACCATGACTTTAGAATCCAATGGCATCATTGGCATGAAATAAAAAAGTATCAAAGCCTATATTCATTTACTTTCCCAAACGATACGTCCTTTCTAAAGAAAAAGGTTAAAACGGAGATGTGGCTAGCTAGGCCCCCATGGAGTTAAAAATATAATACTTAATCAAAAGGAGAAATATTGATAAATACAAAAAACACAATAATCTTTTGTTTGAAGTATGTGGGTTATTAATGGTTTATGGAAAATTATAATAGATACCTTGCCATTTTTATGTTTCATCTTAATTTTGAATTTAATCAACCTTTCACACGAGCAAGGGAAGGCAGGCGGCCATAAGCCACAGCATTTGAGTCTTTCGGCATTAACTACGTTTTTAGATAATAAATTTAGTGCATTGAAATTGTGATTTTCAAAAATGCAGCGACGCCCTAGGAAAAAGATATATATAAAGAACTTTATATTTCGTTTTTAAATTGAAATAATGACGATTCCTTTTAATGTGAACTGATAAACTTCTTTTCCTAAAAATGAATTCGATCTTTTCTCTAAAATGGCTTATTTTTGAAAACATTATAAACGGCATAAAAATTTAGGGATGGATCGTTTTCACATTTTTGAAAAACGATCGTTTCGGTTTGAAGGTCGTCTTTATTTTATTGATATAAAAGTCAACCACTGTAAGTATGTATTTTTTATACAGAGTCACAGTTTACTTAACATCATATTGAACTTTTTTTAAAGAAGGGTTTTAATAAAGGTGTATTTTATTCATAAAAAGATCTGCAGTGATAACCAGACAACTCTGGAATATACTCAAGTTATTTCTTTAAATAGCCTAGTAAACATGAGGCACAATTGTGCGCTGTAAACAGACCCATTTCACTGAATAAGTGATTTAATAGCTTACAATTTAAACTATTTGCACTGTAATAACATCAAATGACCTTCAGTATTGTTTTAATATCTTTCTATTCCACAGTTTTCTGGTTCTCACTATATCATTGATACAGTTCGGAAGTCGAAAACATGTCAAAATTACGAATATTTTGTTAATATTTAAATAACTTTTAAGTTGTATAGATCTAATATTTAATTGAACTTCAAATACTTTTCTTTACAAAAATAAAAACAAATAGTTTACCGGGCGATCATAACAAATTTAGCTTCTACCTTTTTTTGGTATGTGAAATGAGATAAAAATTATTCAAGTTTATAAATGCAGGGAACATAATATCAAGAAAAAAGACTAGAGAAAATCGACCTTAGTAGGTAACCTTCTATAAAAATTCTTCAAGATAATTAAACATATATAGATATTTGGGATGGACTGCAAAACATTTAAAAAATGAAATTAAAATGTATATCACAGAAAATAGTCCTTTAAAACTCATGCATATTTTTTAATTCCAAAATTCAAAGCAAAAAAGTATTTTAAAAATTACTAAAATGTTATAAATTAAAGTTACCTGTAAAATAACTGACCTATGAGCTTTCATTAGATTCGTAAAAAATTAGATGCTTAAACTATTTAAAAAATTTGAATCTTTTGATCAAGATAACATATATTTCCTCAATATTGCATATCACTATTTACTATCAAGAAATAAATCTTTAAAAGTTAAAAAGAAAATTAGATAAACTTTTGATAAGCAATACATGTTCACCATCGTGTTGTGAAACTTTTGATCAATTGTTATTTCCAAAATGTTCGAAAATCTAAATTTTTGAAAATATTTAAATTTAAATGTTTAATTAATATTAATTTGTTAACAAACGTTAATTAGATTTAAATCTAAATTTGAATTCGTTCCTCACATGGATAAAGATGAACATCGTTTTTTTTTCGTTTTTTAACATTTAGATTTTTTTATTTCGCAGAAACTGAACATGAATCTCAGAAGTTTACTGTTTATCAGTTGGCCTTTGGAACATTACTCTTACGAAATAGACGAAAAAATGAGCAACATGTTTCATTGACGACATTAGTTTGATTTTATATATATTTTAAAATATATTTTTATATATATATTTTTAAATAGATATAAAAAATATATTTTTACGTATATTTTTACATATTTTTGGTTTATGTTATGTTCAAAACGGCTGAACCGATCGGATTCAAACGTTTTTTTCCGACTCACATGATCCAACAGAATGTTTATGGACGGTTACAATGGAAAAATTTTGCCTGGACAAATCCACAAAATAAATAGTTGAAAAATTGTTTTTATCAAAGAATTGCGAAACGGTGCCGACTTAAAAAGCAACAGTCAAAACTGTTGCTAAACTCACAGCCTAGTAAACATCTAAAACCCTTAGATATTTGAAAATCAACTAAAAACCGATTTGTACTTATCTACGGGTAAAACCCTCATGTCGCTGTAAGCTGAGAGATCAAATCAAGCCAAGAATGTCAAGATTATGATTTTAAAAGAATATTCAACAAAAATTGAACAAAAGAGATTGTAACCCAAATTGAAAGGGATTAAAGAATATTCAATATTAGTCTTCAGCTGAGAAACTATAAGAACTGTAAGCGTAATTTCAAGTTATCAGAATTAAATACTTTCATGACAGAAAAACGACAATATCTTCCACACTAATGATCATATCAAGATATGGCACCTTCTTCTACAGATTTACAAAATCAAAGATCATCGATTAAACCTTTAAATTTTATCATCAAACCTTTGAATCTTATCATTAAACCTTTGAATCTTATTATTAAACCTTTTAATATTATCTTTTAACCTTTACATCTTATTATTAAACCTTTGAATCTTATTATTAAACCTTTGTATCTAGGGTTGTTAATCATTTTTGAAAACGATCATTAAACGATCGTTTTCCTATCGTTTTTTGTTTCGTTTTCCGATCATTTTAAAAACAATTGTTTTAAAAACTTTTTTAAAAACGACAGTTTTTAAAACGATCGGTAAACGAAACAAAAAAACGATTATAGGAAAATGAAAAAAAACTATAGTTTTTCAAAAAATGAAAACGTTAACATCCCTATTTTTATCTTATTATTAAGCCTTTGAATCTTATCATTATACCTTTAAATCTTATTATTAAACCTTTGAAACTTATCATTAAACCTTTGAATCTTATCATCAAACCTTTGAATCTTATTATTAAAAATTCTAATCTTATTATGCAACCTTTAAATCTTATTATCGAACTCAACTACCAGTGTTGAGTTTTTATCCTTTCTGTTTTACTAACCCTGTACAAATTTGTGTACTGAAAAAAATCAATTTTGGTTTCTATATTTAAAATTCAATGCAACAGCTCGAACTGTATTCTTCACAAACCTATTTGCATGTGTATGGTTGGGATTAACGGACTTAATAAACCAAGATTTATCGATGACAATGGCTCTAGCATCGCATTGTTAATGTTAAGCAATCTCATTCCGGCACCTCAAATAGCTTACACCAGTCTTCTTGTTTGTAGATGTACGTTTGTAATAATATCCCTTATCATCTACAATTATCCTGCCACCTTGTCTTGCAGCAATAAATGATACCATACCGATCATTATGGAAGCCAGAATCAGACTAAAATTTAAAATTTTCAAAAACGTTTGGCGGATATTTGTGATATAAATTGCGAGTTTTCTATGATTCAAATCAAATGATATTTTTATCATTTTGACCTTTTGTG